AGGGGTCGGAGCGAGTGGTATTGGATGGGCTGCTCACGCCAGCTGAGTGTGGAGCGCTGCTGCAGCTGGCCAAGGTAAGAGGACCTGAGCGCTCGGCCCTCCGGGGACCACAGGCACGCTGCCTGCTCCCTTGCCCTCAGCCTGCCCCTCCCTACTCTGCCCGTGCTGACTGTCCCGCAGGGACTGTGCGTTCAGTGCCTCTCGGCTGGGGGTGAGTCCCTTTTCCTCCTAATTTAGCTGATCTGGGGTGGATGTTCTCTACAAAGGAATTGTCCTAGAAACTGATGGGAAGAACAAAACGAAAAACAAGAAGGTATAAAAAAATGGCTGAGTGTGCGGGCGAGGATGCCCTGGTTAGCTGAGTTTAGAGACTGGCGTGGCTGCGAACCACCTCCTGTGGGTCGACTGACTGCTGTTCACCAGCTGAGTCTACCAGGTAATGGAGCTTCAGTCCTCATTCTGGGCCGGTGCTCTCGTCACCCGCTGAATACCTGCTGTGTTAGAAGCTGCTAGGGGGCCGGCAGAGTGCATGGTGGTAGGGAGCTGGACTCCCACATGGGCGACCACAGTTCGAGGCCTGTACCTGGTGGCTTGTTTTCTCACTTTTCATTTCTCTCTCTGTCTTTCTCTGGTCAAATGAAAAATAATAACAACAACAAATAAAATTTTAAAAATGAATAAATCTTAAAAAAGGAAAAGAAACCACTAGGTTCTTGGGAGCAGCAGATGGAGTAATGGCTACGTCGCTGAACTCCTATGTAGTCGACTGCAGTTTGAGTCTCGGACCTGGTGGCTTAAACTCACACCGGGTGTGTGTACGTGCGTGCCCAAGATCTCGAGAGGAGAATGGAGGAGAAGGGATTGTGTCATGGCCATCCCCCCCTGGGGGGTGATTTCTCCCTTTCTATCTCTCTGTCTGTCTCTATGTGTCTGGCATGCCCTATAGCAAAAACTTCTGATAAAAAAAAAAAAAAAAGAGGCCAGGTGGAGGAGAGATCAGGGCCCAGACTCCAAGGGCCTCTGTACCTGCCAGGGAATATGGCCTTCATTTGTGGATGGTGGACAGCTGGTGAAAGACTTGGGGCTGCAGGACCAGCAGGTGGCGTAATGGCTATGTCGCTGGATTCCTATGTGGTCAACCGCAGTTCAAGTCCCTGACCCGTTGGCTTAAACGCACGCTGGGCGCGTGTGCGTGCGTGTCCAAGATCCTGAGAGGAGAGTGGAGTGAGAAGGGATTGCGGCGGGGCAATCCCCCCTGGGGGGGGGGTGATTTCTCACGTTCTGTCTCTCTATGTCTCTCTGTCTTCCTGGTGAGTGCACACACCCTATAGCAAAAAAAAAAAAAGAAAGAAACTCTCAAGACCCCCACCCCCCAAAAAAAATAAAGACTTAGGGCTGCTGCAGCACAGCAGTGAGCACTCTGCACTGGGAGCCAAATCCCAGATGGCCAGCAGCTGTGAAACTGGTGAAAAGCCCGCTGGGCATGTATGCATGTGTGCATAAAATCTGACCGGAAGGAGAAATGGAGGGCGAAGGATTGTAGCATGACTACACCCTGTTGGGGAGCGCTTCTTCTGTCTCTGTCTTTGGGGAGCGCACACGCTTTCTGGCAAAAACAAACCAAAACCAAAACAAAAACAAAAAGTTGCATTTCCCTGTTTGTATTTGCTTCGATTAAAGAAAGAATTGGGGACCAGTCGGTGGTATGGTGGTTACGGTGGTCGGGTCCCACGTGGCTGGCTGCACGTTTCACGACCTGGACCCAGTGGCTTGAAAAATGCCAGGCACATGTGTGTGCATGCCCAAAATCGCCAGAGGAGAATGGAGGAGAAGGGATTGGGAAGTGACCACCATCCCTGAGAGGTGCCTTCTCTCTCTCTCTCTGGCAAGCACACATACCCTATAGAAAATTTAGTAAATAAATAGCTAGATTTATAAATAAATAAGGATTTAAGGAAGGGCTGGCGTTCATGGTCCTGATGAACTTCCAAGGATAGGGCCCGGAGACCCTGTCCTGTGGAACCTGCAGCTCCCTCTAGAGGTAGTGTGTAGAATACAATGGGAGAGAAGAGGGGAGAAGCTTCTGGAGTGATTAGAGTGCCACTGCCTTAGTCTCATTTCGAGAGAATGCAGAGAGGAACAAGTGAAGAGTACTTAGAATTTCAAAGAGAAAGAGTGAAGGACAAAAGCCTGCATGGAATGGGCTGGTCCCCTACCGCAACGACTGGACCCTGCTTAGTGGAAGCTGGATCCACACAGCTGACTGGGTTTCTAGTCCTATCCCTGTTGATTTGAAAAACGTGCCAGGTTGGGGCCAGCAGGTGGCGTAGCAGTTACATCGCTGCACTCCCACATGGCCAACCGCAGTTTGAGTCTCAGACCTGGTGGTTTGAAAATCACGCCAAATGCGGATGTGGGCATGCCCAAGATCCCAGGAGGGGAGTGGAGGAGAAGGGATTGCAGGTATGGCCATCCTCCTGAGGGGTGATTTATCACTTTCTCTCTCACTCTCTCTCTGGTGAGCATACATGCCCTACGGGAAAAACCTCTTTAAAAAAGAAAGAAAGGAAGGAAGAAAGAAAAAGAAAGAAAGAAAGAAAGAAAGAAAGAAAGAAAGAAAGAAAGAAAGAAAGAAAGAAAGAAAGAAAGAAAGAAAGAAAGAAAGAGGAACCAGCAGTTAGTGTAATGGCTGTGTCTCTGGACTCCCATGTAGTTGACTGCGGTTTGAATCCCAGACCCGGTTGGCTTAAACTCACGCCGGGCGCGTGTGCGTGCGTGCCTAAGATCCCAAGAGGAGAATAGAGGAGAAGGAATTGCAGCGTGGCCATGCCCCCGGGGGTGATTTCTCACTTTCTGTCTTTCTGGTGAGCGCACATGCCCTATAGCAAAAAACTCGTAAAAAAGAAAGAAAGAAAGAAAGAAAAGAAAACACTCCAGGTGTGTACACACGCACCCAGGATCCTGACAGGATGGAGAATTGGAGGAAACAGGATCGCAGCACAACCAGCCTTATCGGGGGTGCTGTCTCTCCCTCTCACGTGCATGTGGGTGCACCCTCTGGCACGAATCAGGCCACCTGTTGGGGAGAGGGTAACAGGATGGAGTCAAGGTGAACTCCCGAGCATCAGACCTTCATTCTGTCTCTCCTTGACATTAAACTCATTCTGACTTCAGGATTATTTCCTCTGCCTGGAACATTCCCCTCTCAGCCATTTCCTCTCAGACATTCCCTCTCAGCCACATCCAAGTGGCTCCTTTGTATCACTGGTTTCAATATTTTTTTTCTTTGTTTGAGAGGTTTTTGCTATAGGGTGCGTGCGCTCACCAGAAAGACAGAGAGAGACAGAGAGACAGAAAGAGAGAAATCACCCCCCAGGGGGGATAGCCACGTTGCAATCCCTTCTCCATTCTCCTCTCGGGTCTGGAACTCGAACCATGGTTGACCACATGGGAGTCCAATGACATAGCCATTATGCCAACTGCTGGTCCCTCACTGATTTCAATTTAAGGTCACCTGTTCAATTAGCTGTCTCTGAACCCCTGCCTGGGCACCTTCAAGGTCACAACCCTGCCTTAATGCCCTTCATAGTATGTTATCACCGTCTGATGAATTGATCTGGTTCATTTATTTATTTATTTACTCGTTATCTTAAAATACTAATCTCCTGAGAGTGGGGACCTTTTCCTTTTTTCTCCCTAAATAATTATTTTATTTAACTTTATTTATTTATTTTAATTTGACCAGAGAGGGACAGAGAAAGAGAAGAAAAGTGAGAAAGCAAGCTGCCAGGTCTGGGACTCGAACCGCAGTCGGCTACGTGGGAGTCCAGCCCCCGTAACCACTACACCACCTGTCAGCCCCAGGGGAGCTTTTCTTAAGCACATTTATGTCTCCAATGCCTACAACAGGGCCTGGCACATAGTAGGTGCTCAGTACAAATTTGTTGAATGAATCTTAGATGGCTAGGTGACTCGGTGGTCTCTCAGAGAAGTCTGTATGGAGAAGTAACTATGGTGGTACTTAAACAGATTCAAAAGTAGGCAGGAAGGGGAACCAGCAGTTAGCGTAATGGCTATGTCGCTGGACTCCCACGTAGTCGACCGCGGTTCGTGTCCCGGACCCGGTGGCTTAAAACTCACGCCGGGTGCGTGTGCGTGTGTGCCCAAGATCCCGAGAGGAGAATGGAGGAGAAGGGATTGCGGCGTGACCATCCCCCCTGGGGGGTGATTTCTCGCTTTCTGTCTCTATGTCTCTCTCTGTCTGTCTGGCGAGCGCACGCGCCCTACAGTGAAAATCTCTCAAGAAAAAAAAAAAAAGTAGGCAGGAAAATGTCAGACAGAGAGAGTGATCCTGGTTGTGACCTGCAAATACTGGGAGTCCCTGGGGTGAGGGAGTCACTCTGGATGGCTGGGAAAGCGGGACTCAGCATCAGGGTGGCGCCACCAAGCCGGCCGGGTCCTCTGAGAACACCTCAGGTGGGAAGAGCTCAGAGACAGATGCTGTCTGCCCGCCTGGGGCCTCCTGCCAGGGCCTGGCCTGACCGTGGAACTTTCCTGCTGGACCCTGTTCCAGAGCGGCTCTAGTCTTGGCTCACTTGGGATGGGTGGTGGAGCCCTTCCTGCCAGGCCCAGCTCTGCCCCCTTCCCTCTCAGAGGCCCTGCCTGCTGTCGGAGGCTCTCCCGAGTCCTGCCCAGAGTCTCCTGGTACTGGGATTTCAGGCCTTTCCTGGAGAAGGGTCGCCCGGACACCCGGGACTACAGTCACTCTCCAGGAAAGGGCAGCAGCTCAGGGCAAGGGGCACAGAGAACTGTGGGCGTCTCAAGCTTCGTCCCTGGAGGGAGGGTCTCCTGGCCCTGAGGGCAGTGAGGTGGGCTAGAGGCAGCCAGTGCTCAGTAACTGCTCTCCCTCTCAGGACGCAGCTGAAGCTGGAGCCAGGGCGGGCTCTCGTGGCCGCCGCTCCCCGCACACCCCCCATGAACGCTTCGAGGGGCTCACAGTGCTCAAGGCTGTGCAGGTGAGGGGGGCCCCCATGGCCTGGCGGAGTGCGCGCAGAGGCTGGGCACTGGGTCTGGGCTCCTGTGCAGGACTGTCCTGGGACCAAGACTGCCTGAGGCCTGAGCCCAGGATGGAGGAAGGGGGTGACCTGAGAACCGGGTGTGAGTTGTTATCAAGGAGGTGATGGAAGGAGTGGTTTAGGCCGATGGCAGGCCGCCCGTCCTGAGAGACCCCAGACCCCCGGGTGGGCGGCAGAGGTAGGGCAGGAGCTAGGGCTGGGGCCGACGTCTCATGCCGCCCTGCCCCCACCTGCAGCTGGCCCGGGCAGGGACGGGGGGCAGCCAGGGTGCCAGGCTACTCCTGGAGGTGAGCGAGCGCGTGCGGACCTTGACGCAGGCCTACTTCTCCCCGGAGCGGCCCCTGCATCTCTCGTTCACCCACCTGGTGTGCCGAAGTGCCATCGAAGGTACCTGCCAGGGACCGCTGCCCTCCCCAACCTCCGGGCCGGCGTGCCTTCAGAACCCCACCCTGTGTGGGGTCGGGTCTTTACTCCCCTCCCCAGAGGGCCGGTTCCTCTGCCCCGCTGTGACCAGGCGCTACAGGGCGAGTGCGGGTGGTAAGCACCCCAGGGCAGCAGGTGGGCACGAGGACAGAGAAGTCACCAGACCCCATTGTGTGGCAGGGGAGCAAGAGCAGCGCATGGATCTGAGTCACCCGGTGCATGCCGACAACTGCGTCCTGGACCCTGACAGCGGGGAGTGCTGGCGGGAGCCCCCAGCCTACACCTACCGAGACTACAGGTGGGCCGGGCAGGCGGGCGGGGGCATCCCACAGCAGGCTGGGCCTGGCACGGGTCTCACTGCCTCCTGTCCTCCTCCCTCCCAGCGGACTCCTCTACCTCAACGATGACTTCCAGGGTGGGGACCTGTTCTTCACAGAGCCCAACGCCCTCACCGTCACGGTACGTGGGGTGTGAGTTGTAGGGGTGTGACAGAGGGCCCAGCCCCAGGATCAGGATTCAAAACAGAAGTTCTCAGAGGCAAATGCAGGGAAATAGCTGGGGTCACCTTAACCTGTTCCCTTCCGGGCCTCCCGGCCTCCTCAACACTGTCCGGAGAGGTTGTTTGTTTGGTTTTCTTTGGAGAGGTTTTTGCTATAGGGCACATACGCTCACGAGAAAAACAGAGAGACAGAGAGACAGAAAGCGAGAAATCACCTTCCAGGGGGGATGGCCACGCCACAATCCCTTCTCCTCCATTCTCCTCTTGGGATTTTGGACACATACACACACACACACACACACACGTGCCTGGCGTGAGTTTAAGCCACTGGGTCTGGGACTCAAACTATGGTTGACTACCTGGGAGTGCAGCGACATAGCCATTACGCTAACTGCTGGTCTCCCTCACCACTGCTGGGTCCAGGGCTCTCCCAGCAGGAGCTGAGTAAGACCCTCTCCAGCAGCTCTCCAAGTGGCCCCTCCAGACCTGCCTTCAGTGTTTGCCTCACCTCCTCAAGGAGGGGCTAGTGACGCACAGGCGGCAGGACCCTCCAGGCCGTGCCCCTCTGCTGTACTTGGGCAACTCGAGTTAGTCCTTCTCCCCAGAGCAGGGCAGATCCACCGGTTCAGATGTGCGTTCTTAAACGTTCCAAGGTTCAGTTTTCTAAATGGGGGCGATAATAATAATGCTTGTTGTTTATTTGTTTTTTGACGTTTCTGCTGTAGGACGCATGCACTCACCAGAGAGAGACAGAGAGAAAGTGAAAAATCACCCCTGAGGGGATGGCCATGGTGCAATCCCTTCTCTTCCATTCTTCTCAGGATTGGGGGCACACATGCACACAAACCCAGCATTATTTTCAAGGGGTCTGGGACTT